TCGTGCTTTTTGCTACTTGTCAGCAAGGTGCATCCATAACTTTTAGGGAACTGGTGTTCCCTGGCTGGTTCCACCCAGTGCCATTGAGCTTCACAATCAGAGACTATACCGATGGGAGCATCGGTTCGTGCAATATAAAAGTATACCTTACTGACGATTAGCAATCAGCATGAAACCTAGGTACAGGGTATCATGTCTATCACATCCAATTAACAACTTGCAGTTCAACATGGCTTACACGATATCGAGTCACCTTAACTAGTGGTTACATTGAAACGTGATCCATAGAATTCGTTTAACACTAAGAAAGAATTCACGTACAGAACATTGGCCATTACTCAGTGATCAATCATTATATCAACAAACTGGTTGGTAGGTAGTAACTAAATATTTATGGTGACCAACGGAAACGACAACTGTAGATCGATGAGATAGATGAAATGGAATGAAGTCTAATGTTGAGCGACCAAAAGGATGATGTCGTAATCTAGAATGGAAACTTTAAGAAAACGGTTATACCATCTGTTTGATGAACTCTTTCAGTCAAGAAGTTTGTACATTTCTGAATAATCAATCATTTCTTATTTTTGAGGTTACTTTGTGAGCTTCATACACGCTAATAATAACAAATGTATTATATACATTAAGATGGTGACTAGTGATGACCAACATATCATCCGTATCTCAAATAAATCTACGTTTCTAGGATTATCAACATATCTTTGTCAATTATTAACTTCGGTTGGAACTGTTCCCATTGATATTTAGGACTGCAGTTGATCAGTCTCTTATTGGCATATGTGCATCCTGTGAGGATTGCCTCGATATTGCCTTAGTTCACAAACATGATAATCAAAGATGGATGGTGGCTAGCAGTGGAATTCAGAACATGTGTTTCGTCCTATTTAGTGCTGTTCATCTGAATTTATCTTCATCTTAGAGTTGATGTTCACTCCAGGACTCGAAGCCAGTACCGTTCGCTTCAAATACCATCGCATTATCCACGTAACTATTGAGTCCTGATAGCCACAAGAATGAATTCTAGTTATCTGTTATGATAATTCAGAATGAATGAATCTAATCGAAGAGTATATAGTATGAATTCATAATAAAATTTAAGATTGAAGGGATAAGATGAAGAATAAATTTATTTATGCTACTTTGATCTATTCATAACTTGAAATCAACACCTGGTGGTTGACAAAATGAAGTTGAAGATAAAGAAACACTGTACAGATGGGGGAAACAGTATTATAAAGATTCAATACAGCTTTCCTATGAGATACTAACAAACTCAATGAATCTAGGTTAACTTCAAACAACAGGTTCTAAGCCTTATAAGATCTACTGGATGAAAAGAAAACTATCATGGAGAACAATTGAGAACAGATAAAAAAAGGCACCAACTTCAACTTCTACTCATTTTCTTCTAAATAAACCATGAATCTAAGTTTCATACTAATTGATCCTCTTCAAGGGTAATATGTAAACTTATGTGTGTGTGGGGGGATTGAACTGATACTCTCATTAGAATCTAAACTTAAACTATCTAATATTACCTGAATAACCAATACAATTGCCATAAAGCTAATTATCTCTAACTCAACACTCTCTATGCAGTAGTAAGCAATCATAATTTCAATAAGCCAAATTTAATTCACAATCTTCATATTTTGTAGTAAAATAAAATAAATTTAAATTCTAATGGTCTCTACTTTCAAATAATATTTGAATTTTGATAGAGTTTTGTTCTCTCAGTTGGATGGTTCGGTCGTGGAGCTTTCATCGTTCTTCTGAATAACATCATCAGTACAAGCATCAGGGCCCCCGAATGCCCTGATACGGCCGAGAGTGAAGAGAGTCCGCTCTCCCTCTCAAAATGCTCTCATATGGCCACGCGTATATAGGCTCTGACAGGGAAGCCCTACTCACTGCCTTCTCGTGGCATTACTGTTGTTTACGAAATTGAGAGGATGAAAAGCGAATGTCTGGAGCTTTAACCGGGTTGGTGGACATGGAGAGTTCACCTAGGGGAGTTGGGAAACCCTCATTCCAAACCAATGGTGCACATGGGCTCCAGTATCTTGAAGGAAAAAATGGTTTATGAACCAATTGTTGGTCACCGGCTACCGTGGGACTACATCTCCTTACGTTGCTCCACTGTCTTGTGGATCAGACCCTTAGATCAAAGGCTCCGGGTGTGGCCCCCTAAGAAAACCACCTGCTTCGGTTTAGGCACCCGGGCAGTATCACAGCCCTCACACATATCAAATGAGATATGTCTGGCGCATATATATTTGGTGCCTCGTTGTACCAATATTTATGTGTTAAAATAAATAAATAAATAAACAAACTTCAGGTAGGAGTGAAGTGTTCGAATTTCTACACACATATGGTTCACAGCTTCTCCTGTAGATTTCGATGTTGATTAGTTCTTGTTAACCTTAAAACTATCATTGTTTACTTGTTCATTTTGTTTGTATCTCCGATTGGTTTAGTTCTTGGTTCTATGTTTGTCCATAATTTTCCTGATTGATCCATAAATTGGATTGATTTGAATCAACATCAAAGTGTACAGGACAAGTTGTGAACCATATGTGTGGAGAAATTTGAACACTTCACTTCTACTTTAAGTTTGTACTGATGATGTTGTGCAGAAGAATGATGAAAGCTTCACTATCAAAACCATCCAACTCAGATAATAAAACTCCACCAAACTCATCCATCTGAGCTCACAGTTGATTGATCATTTGGTGGTGATCAATGTCATGCGTCTCAAGTCCCTATTTAGTGCAGATCGAATGCTATCGACCATGTTGCAATGTGGCCACTAGTCTAGGTGACTCGACATTGTGGGCACTGTATATTGAGATTAGATGGTGATTGAAGGTAGTCGATAGGAAACCCTGGACCTGGGTTTCGTGCTACTTGGCGCTCGTCAGCATAGTGTACCTGTAATCTTGAGGGAACTGGTTCTCCCTGACGGATTCGATCCCGTGTCACTTAGCTTCACAGTCAGAGACGTTACCGCTGAGCTGTCCGGGTTCCAGGATCCAGGATTTCCTGTCGACTACTTCCAACCACCATCTAATCCATCTGAGCAACAGATCTTCTCCACCAACTAATTACTGTTTATTCAGTTAATTAAATATTAACTATAACCGCCTGGTCTGTACTAGAATTAAAATAATTCATCTTTTGTTTTGTTTTTTTTTTCCGAATAAAATGTGAATAGAATGTGAACATTCAAGTAGTTGTTTGTTTAAACTTAATGCTTTTTATCATTAAAATAATTTGAATATCAGAACACAAATAATTTAGTTACTAATTGGTTGGTTGCTATGCGGAAAGATTAGCACGAAGTGACAAAACAGCACAACAACAACAATAACAATGCTTTTGAATGATTACTCGTGTATATTGTGACCACCAAATGAGAAATGTTAAGGTTAGAAACAATATGACAAATTAGTTGATAAGGTATATGAGATATATATTACATAAATCTATCGATCATCGTTAATAGAAATAAATTGTAAGGAAGTTAATGACGATGAGCTTAGACATGATGTAGTTGAGAAGATTTATTACTTAAATGGATGATTGTGTTGAAATTTGATTCCTTGAGTTAAATAGTCTAGTTGTAAAGATTTCATTGTCTTCTTAGACAACGCTGTCAGGTAAATGCTTCAAGTAAACGTTGTTCAGTAGGACAACAAAAGCTACATAATTAAAGTCCTGAGTTTAATCTTTGTTAGTGCTATATCCCGATGAGAATTATGAATGGTAACTTTCGAGAACTATTTATGGATCAATACGATACACACATTTTTATTGTATGATTGTTAAATAACTAAACTATCTGCATGTTCATGTTTCTCTTATTATAAGCTGTATGCTGACCCATAGACTATTATTATACCATTTACCATTCTTGAATTATACCCTGTCTATTAATTAACATTTCCATTATTCACAGCCACATTTGGTTAAATCTTGTACAAATGTTGTTTCCTATTTTATGGTACGATGTCGTCTGTTAGGCTGGTGTATATGAACCCAGTCTGTTTGAAATACATAATTCATATCGAAGAGGCTGAAATTTGCTTTGGACTTAACAGAAAGGGCTACCCAGGAAGAAGGACTGATAAACACTCTAGATTACTCGTACAGGTTTATACGTCATTGGTCCGGTCGATAAAGCACTATTCTCTAAATGGCGGTATCATTACGTTATACATATATAGTGATAAAATCATAAGGTCACAAGAGATAACAATACGGGTCATCAATGGAGACTGCTGAAGAGTCCCTATAATCTATGACTTTGTTTTTTAATAGCTACCTGACTGAAATCATCCCTTAATATAAACCTACAAACATCAACATTCTTTACAAGTACGGACAACAACTACTACTACTACTACTGCCACCACCTCCACCACTACTACTAGGGTGGCTTGTTACTCATTGAAGTTTTAATAATAATAATAATAATAATAATAATATCACAAACCACAAAACCCATTCTGATAATAATCATCTGCTCACTAGTGACTGACTTCAAGAGATACTCCTGGAGTTCTAGTGGGAAGCCGTTACCAGTGGAGTACAACCAGGTCTGTTGTGAGATATCAGCTCACTGAAGACAGTGGTATATGGTGGCGGAACTTGGTGGATTGGTTGAAGTTAGACATTAACACCATTGAATGCCGGCTCAGTGGTCTAGCTGGTTAAGCGCTTGGCGCGAGACCGATAGGTCCTGTGGTCGAGTCTCTCGAGGTGGGATCGTGGATGAGCAATGCCACTGAGGAGTACCACAATAGGACGAAACGGTTATCCAGTGTTTCCAGGTTTTCAATGGTGGTCTAGCTTCAACTGACTCATGATTTCAATTTGTGAAAATAATAATAATAATAGTTTTTGTTATTCTCCTTTAAATGATTTTCTTTTCACCTTCTTAGAATCTAAAGATATTTCATCAAATAAAGAGTAATGAAATGACAGAATTAAATGAACCATTTAATAAATTAAAACAATTCAATAATTCAGATATTTCATTACTAAATGTGAATTATGATCAAAAATCAATGAATCAAATTGAACAATTATTATGTCAAGTTTTAAATGAGTAAGAATATGAAAATGTTTATTATTATTATTATTATTTCAAATTTACTTAGTTACTTACTTTCGCCTGTTACCCCTCGTCATGGAGGAGTATAAGTCGAACATCAGCATCTATTATCTAACTTTGTCGTCGGCAATCCTTTGCAGTTGCGATTCATCGTTTACATGTTTGCTTCCAATTTTCGACGTAGTATGCTCTTTGGCCTTCCTCTTTTCTGGCTTCCCTTCAGAATTCCAAGTTAGTGCTTGCCTCGTGATGCAGTTTGATGATTTCCATAATGTATATCCTATCCACTTCGAATGTCTTTTCCTAATTTCCTCTTCAACTGGAAGTTGGTTTGTCCTCTTTCACAGTAGATTGTTGCTGATGGTATTCGGTAAAGTCACATTGAGTATCTTGAGTAGACAGCTGTTTATAAATACTTGCACCTTCTTGATGGTGGTTGTAGTAGTTCTGGAAGTTTCAGCTCCGTACAAGAGAACAAGCTATCTTGACGTTCGTATTGAAGATTGTGACTTTGATATTAGTTGACAGACAGTTGTTTTGAGTTCCATATGTTCTTCAATTGTAGGAGTGCTTTGCCAATCTTCGCCTTTATGTCTGCATCGGATCCTTCTTGTTCATCAATGATGCTTCCCAGGTACGTGAAACGTTCTACCTGTTTCAGAGTTCCTCCACCGAATCTGATTGATTGGGTTGGTGTATATGCGATAGATGGGTTAGGTTATCTTCAAAGTTCAAATCATTTAATTTCATGCAAGCTGTCGATTTTATTCCATCCTTCCAGTCAGATGTCTAGGTCTTCACAAACCTCTCAACCACCACCATATTTTTCAAAGTGAATATTTTTTTTCTCTTTATTTTATCATAAATATCTGCCATCAATGATTAAAATACATTTTTACTATATGTATGCTGTAAAATAAATTGTAAACTAATGGATAATTTCTTATATTGTTCCATGTGAGAGCATTTCGGGAGAGAGAACTGACTCTCCCGATTCTCGTCCGTATCAGGGGGAGATGTATAACCAGCAAAACCATAACTCACGAAGACATTGATCGCCACCCAGTGATCAATCAATTGTGATTACATCTCAGTCCTACAAGAGGTCGGTCGTGGCTCGGATAGCTCAGTGGTAACATCTCTGACTGTGAAGCTGGGTGACACAAGATCGAATCCGCCAGGGAGCACCAGGTCCCTCAAGATAACAGGTTCAGGGTTTCCTGTCGACTACCTCCAACCACCATCTAACCCCAATATATAGTGCCCTCAGCATCGAGTCACCTAGACCGGTGGCCACATTGCAACATGATCGATAGCATTCGATCTGCACTGATCGCCACCCAGTGATCAATCAATTGTGAAAGTATTAGATTATACGACTCAGTAGTTAAACGTAAAATGCCTTGAACGCTCAGCCGCTAATTTGAAGTCTTGTAGTTCTCTCAATTATTTGTTATACATGATGACAGTGATCGAATTCTGAAGAGCATCATGAGTTCGACAACCACATGTATATTTTTAAGAAAGTTATGTAATTAAAGTAACCAAACAAGACCAAGGTTACGTTTTTTTTTGGGGGGGGGGTGGCAAGTAAAACATCGATTGAAATCTTGACTATCAACTACAGGAGATTACAAACTCCGGTAGAAATGCTTTCATATCCATTAAAAAATTACTAACTGTTTGGACTAAATAGCTCAATGGATAGCATGTTGAGTATTGAAAGCAAAAATTACTTGATTTGATCTCCATTTAGTAAACATTAACACTGCGATGCAGATAAATTCACTTCGGTCAGTCATTCAGTTAGCAACAACGTAGAACTTCGTACGTACATACATCAGTTCGAGTTGTCATACCACACCGGCACAGAGATACATTTGCCAATTCAAATCCCAGCGTGGTAGAGGTCGGTGAAATTATAAGCAGTAATCGGGAACATTAGAGTTTGAAGATATTATTCAAAGAGTATAATCCAGTGAAATAAATTTAGAAAGAGAAAAAATAAAGGGACATGAAGAGTCCAGAAGATTGGAATTCGAAAGAACATAAAGAGTGGAGGCAACTGCGCTATTGCAAACGATTTTGAGCCATGTTATTCAAAATCTCTAATCATCGGTTGCTATCGTCTCGCGGTCCCCAACCACGTAGTCTACATCTACCAACATGGCTTAGTCCACTTGTCAGTGACTTCATGGATTTGTACCATGTTTTGTTCTGGCCGCTCCTAGATTTTATCCAACTTACTCCTACATCATAAAATACCACTCGTCGGGGCAGTAGGTGATTGGGCATACCTAACACATGTCCCGGCTATCTCAGCTGATAATAAATTCACTTGAAAAGTTCGAAATATTATGAAGCAGATGTCATGGATTCCTCTACTAGTTACATACTAAATATACTTAGAAAGTTGTGATGTATCTCTATATTAAGGCAATCCACTTAAGATACACATATAACATAAGAAATTGATCGATCTCACTCCTGAATATTAACAGCAAGGTGTTATAAACTCTCTTGCAAATACCTTCATACTCAATGAACAAGTTATTGATTATTTTTTTTGGGGGGGGGGCTCAATAGCTTATTAGATAATGTGTTGTTAGTTGAAGATTAAAGGTACTTGATTAGATCATGTCATGAATTCATTTAGCATATTGATTCATCTTTCATTCTTCTTCAATTAATTTTACAGAAATTCTATTTTAAGAGAAAAAAATGAAGAGTTAAATGAAATGATACTTAATAATGAAGATCATTCAAAAGTAAGTTGATCAATATATGCTGATTCACAATGATTTTAATGGAGTTTTGTTCATTGAACTGGATGAATTAGTCGTGGAGTTTTCATTGTTCTTCTGAACGACATCATCAGCATAAACTCCACTTGAGCTCTAAATATTCTTCACCATCTCAAGATTAGCAATGAAGATTTGCCTTTCAATTGTATTGATTGATCATTTTTTAGTAATCGATGTTATGTTTATTGAATTCTTTTATTGTTGATCAAATTCTAGTGATTAGTCATTTTGATAATTTAGACTATTTGTAGCGCAGGATTATCAAGGAATCAAGCCTGTGGATTTTCATGTTCTCTAAGCTACAAAGTTTAGTTATGAAGCTTTCGTGATCTAGAAAGATCATAATTTATTCAATTTTTCAACTAAAAACATACAGTATTTAATTATTATTGACTATCTTCAAGATGCATACATATTGGCTGTTTGAATCTTTCCGTTGATGCTTAATACTGCAATTGATCAGTCTCTTTGCCATATTAGGATCGTACACGAATTGTTTTACAATATTGCTATTAAGTCACAAGCACTATGAGGAGAGGTGAATGGTAGATAGTAGTTGATTCAAGGACGTGCGTTTCGTCCTATTCGGGACTCTTCAGTTGAATTTACTTGTGTACTGGAGTTGATGTTCAATCCATCTTTGCTTAAAAAGCTTGTGACTTATGGCTATGTCGAGGCAATCTGCACAGGATGCACATATACCGAAAAGAGACTGATCAGTTGCAGTCCTAAATAACAATGGGAGGATACAAGTAAAACAATACCAAGTGAAGTTAAACTTCACCCGATTGCACAAGCAGATGGCTATGAAGACTCAGTAGATAAGTGGATAACGCGATGATGTTTAAAGCGAACGGTACTGGGTTGGAGTGCCAGACAGTGAACACCAACTCTGGGATGCAGATACATCCAGTTGATGAGTCGTGAATAGGACGAAACGCGCGTTTTGGATTCCACTGTTAGCCACTACCCATCTTTGCTTAAAAAACATGCCAATGGTTACTATCTGATAGTAAACTACTGTCAATATCTATGTGTTACATGATATCAGTAGCTGATCAGCTAACATACTGATGACTTCTCTAAATGTGACTTAAGAAGATGAGAATTTGAATTTCACGAAGATTATCACTTTCATAAAGATTAAAGACGTGTATTGCTTATGAATGTCAACTAAACATGAAAAAAGATTAAGTGACGCTTCCATTAGATCACTGTCAATCATTTAAAGTAATGCATTAATCAGACAATAAGTAAACTATTCATTCGATGAATTTAATTGATCATGGCTAAATGATGATTGTATTCTTCATTCAATTCATCTAAAGAGAAAACAGAATGAGTAATAATAATAATAATAATAGTCCCCTTTATTCCAATTACTATAAAGAATTCTTAACCTAATACATACAATATTTCAATAGTCCCTCTTTGTATGAGTATCTAACTTGTGAATATTCAAGAATTATAGTTGCAACGATTTTAAACATTGTTCAATAGCCATTTGTACTTATCGGTATATTTAATAGTTGAATTCATAAGTCAATTGAAGCTAGACCACCATGGAAAATCTGGAAGCAATGGACGGCCGTTTCGTCCTAGCTTCAACTGACTCATAATTTCAACCAGTAAAATTTCTAAAATCTCCAGAAAACCCCTTCTGATAATATTTTTTTCATTTGGTACTGTTTGTTTGTATCTTCAAATTGTTGTCTAGGACTGCAATTGATCAGTCACTTGTTGGTATATGTGCATCCTGTGCGGATCGCCTCGATATTGCCTTAATTCACAAACATTATAAGCAAAGATGGATAGTGGCTAGCAGCAGAATCCAGGACACGCGTTTCGTTCTACTTGGTACTTGTCAGCTGGTATTTTGTACCTGCAGGTACATCGAGCTCAGTAGTCTAAAGGTTAAGCGTTCACATGTGAGACCGTAGGTATAGGTTTTGAATCACGCGTTCGGGATCGTGGATACGTAGTGTTGAGGAGTTCCATAATGGGATGTACGTCCAGGTACAAAATAACAGCTGACGAGCCCCAAATAGGACGAAACGCTCGTCCTAGATTCCATTGCTAGCCACTATCCATCTTTGTTTGTGAAACTACTTTTTGTTGGATTAAACAGCCTGTGTTGACACATATATATCTGTAATTTGTGTGAACGGATGTCTTTATGTTTGTGATAACAGTAATTTGAGCTAAACAACATAATTATGTCTACAATCTGTTTTATTCCCCCATCTACTGATTAATTGGATACATTTGTATTTTAGTGTGGTAGTATTCGGCAACAATAATATATGTATTATTTAGTAGAGGTAGCCAAAAATCAATATTCTATATTGATTAAATTGGAGTAAAATTAGTGATATAAGTCATGTGATCCTAGAAAGTACAATTCACATTTTGTCCTGAAATGTAGCTATGAAAAATCGACAAAAACCAACACTTAACAATAATTAAATATATATTTACATATTTTGAGATCATGAATCGATCGATTTTAGACCACCATTGAAAGTATTGATCGATTTTATGATCTCAATCAGAAAACTTAATAATTACCATGTGCTCATTAATGACTAGCTTCGTGAGGGAATTCTCGGAGTTCTAGTTAGAAGCCGTGACCATTGAAACTAATCCATGTCCGATAGAGACAGGTATCTACTTCAAACAATAGAAAATGGTCGCTTAATTTCGTGGCTTGGTTAAGGCTAGACATTAATACCGTTAGATGTCGGTTCAGTGGTCCATAGGTTAAGCGTTAACGCGCGAGACTGAAGGTCTAGGGTTCGAACCTCGCACGCGGGATCGTGCTGAGAAGTTTCATACTCGAACGAAACGGCCGTCCACCACTTCCAGATTTTCAATGGTCCGTTTATGATATTAATCAATAAATAAACAGTTAATTTATTCTTTAAGAGTGAATATCTAAACTTATTAGCTCAGTAGATAAATTTGTTGGACATTTGAAACGTTACATTCAGTTAATGAATCCTAGATAAGATGATACTCATGTCCCCGGATTTCCTTGCCAGCCATAGTCCATCTAATCTATAGATAGCTGATGGTTGTTTTTTATTTATCCTAGTTTATCTTGGATAACTTTACTTTTGATTATTTCCTTCAAATATGAAAAAGAAAGGCTGAACTTACTTTGACAAGTAAAGCATTGAAACTGTGTAATTTCACTATTTACTTGATTTTAAATTAAGAAGAGCTCCTAAGACGATGAATGAAATTTATAGCTCTGAATATTGGTTATAGTGGAATGGTATTATCTGAACTGGATGACTTTGATTGTGAAGCTTTTATTTCATTTCTTATTTCTTTATTTATTTGAACACATAGATATTGGTACAAGGAGGCACCAAATACATATGCGCCACACAAATCTCATTTGATATGTGTGAGGGCTGTGATACTGTCCGAGTGCCCAAACCGAAGAAGGTGGTTTTCTTAGGGGGCCACAGTCGGAGCCTTTGATCTGAAGGTCTGATCTACAAGACAGTGGAGCAACGTAAGAAGATGTAGTCCCATGGTAGTCGGTGACCAATAATTGGTTCATACGTCATTTGTTCCTTTGGGATACTGGAGCCCATGTGCACCATTAGTTTGGAATGAGGGTTTTCCAACTCCCCTTGGTGAACTCTCCATGTTCACCAACCCGGCTAAAGTGCCGGACACTTGCTTTTCGTCCTGTTAATTTCGTAAACAATACCCGTGGTGCGAGAAGGCAGGGAGTAGGGCTTCCCTGTCAGAGGCTATATACGCGTGGCCATATGAGAGTATTTTGAGAGGGAGAGCGGACTCTCTTCACTCTCGGCCGTACCAGGGCGTTTGGGGGCTATTTCATTTTTTTATTTCATTTCTACCGGAGATCATCATCATTCATTTCAGGTAGAAGTGGACTACTCAAGTATTTTTACATATGACTAACGGTGAGATTATAATTTATGGACGACCTTTGAATGAGTCTTAAGTGACTTTGGGAAATATAAGCCATTCAGAAAACAGTTAGTATATATTATAGAAACCAAAGAATTAAAGTAGATACACTTCTTCGACATGGTTTAAAACTTTTGAAGGAGGAACTCATCCTTATCACTTCATGATAGTCAACCTCTGGAGTCGTGATATGGTCGTAAAACCTATTTCAGCCTCGACAGTATAGCTTCAATATTGTTTGTTTGTACTCCGGTTGTTGGATTCACAAAATTCCGCTGTGGACAACAACACGATGCACATAAGCAAGTCTATGTTGGCATCTGTATGCTCTTTAATCACGTGCATAAATTGTAGTACCCGGCTGCACATATTCCCGTACAATTGGTATTATCGTTGTAGCCTGTCAGTTTCTAACCTGTTCAAAGTATCCCTTTTGGGATTACTTGTCGTATATTCCAAGAACCTATAAGGTATATTGATGCTATTTACCCAGTCTTCTTTAACACTACGTCCTCTATTAGATTTTCGTTTTCTAACAACGATTCTCCCGACTCCTCTAAACGACTCGTGTAGGCTTGTCATTTTTACTGCATATATATCTCATACCGTCGAACACCCGAAGCTTCAGTAACATCTGTAAATGTTGCAGCCAGTGTTACTGGTGTTTTTATTATCCAATTCACAACAATTATCATAATCTACCTTAGTCTCAATCTGGATCGAGTAAAAAAAGTTTTTCTCCTAGCAGACTTCTTTCTCGAACATATATGACATCAAAAGACAACATTATCATGGTATTCTGCACAAGATCCACAAGTCATTTGGTCATCACAATCACAAATAAATGAACTTCTTAGTAGTCCCATTTACTCTAATCTCTTCTCTACAATCCGCTGTAAACCGATCGTACGTGAGCATCAGGTATTAAAATTGGCTCCATGATCTCGAAATCCCTCAAACATTCCTGATTGGCTTATCCATAAAATTCATTCATTCAATATGATGTTCTTGAT